AAATAAACGTCTCGCCAAAGTGTCACGAAAGATAGTACGAAGATTGAGATTGATGAATACGTTTCCAGGATAAGGGATAGTGAAGTAGGAAACATCATCACGACTTGGACGTGCAGAAGTTTTAAGCCGGAAAAGTAAGATCCTTGCAGAATGCAGGTTTTTGCAAATGGCAGTACCTCAGTAGAAACACGTTGATGAAGCTCCTAAGCGTTCTGTTGTTGTAACTGTAGAGTTTATTAAGTAGTTGTCAAATTGGCTGAGGGATATCAATATCACAAGTAAGCGCGAAATCAATGGCTTCTTGGTTAACTAGTTTATTCCTACGACTGCGTCTACCATGCCTTCGGCATTTCCGAGGTAGTGGTACTCGGAAGTACGGGTTTTTACCCATAGTGAATGGAAGTAGTCCGTCTGTTATGGTACCGTAAGCCGTGATACAATCATTAAGTCGAAAAGGATATGCCGTGTTAAGGGCCTGTATCCGGAAGCGCTCCCGTTGAAACAGGCTAGTAGTAGTACTGCATGTGCTGTTTCGCCTATTCCGATGTGATGAAGAAGGTGTCTCGTCCTCTGCTTCAATCGAACCACTTCACCTTTCATTCAATAGCAGCCTTTGAAATGCGCAACGAATGAAAATTGTGAATTTGTTCTCTTGCGGACTCCGAAAGACCAGCCGGCAGATCCTGGGGCTCCACTAAGAGGCATGATCCAGTATCGCTAAATTTTTAATCACTTAAAACGTCAACAGTTTTAGAAAACTTGGTTTTTCCTGTTCCACGCAAGTTGAATGAGTGTTATAAGGACGGGGAACATGACCTCAAAATTTCAGCTTACTGGCTTTTATAGTTTCTGAGTTGGCAATTTTCCCGCCAAATTTTTACACGCTCGCACGCAGAGCCCTGACGTGGGTGAGGGTTGGTTGGTATCGCGATACTGGCAGGAGAATCAACCGGCAAACTTTTGGCACTGGAGCTTGCTTAGTTGCCAAGTTGAAATACCCGGACAGACACATGCAAGGTTGTTGCAATCTGAGTTTTTGCGACTTGCGTATAGACAAAAACGTATAACAACCCAGGCTGGAACGCAGTAGGCAAGCCGGTGTGATCATGCGTTTTTGCACCGAACTTAAAGTAATTAGGTTAACTGCATGAACTGCTGCTTCTTCACATCTACCTTGTGCGCTCAATACCGTAAGTCGTCGCAAATATTGCATAAAAGAAAATAAACAATTTCCGTTTAATGGCCCTTTTTATTTGAAAATATCTTGTAGGTTTGATAGGTTTTTGATAGGTTTACGTTGATTTTCATTTGAAAATGTTGCGGCCACATAATTTACTTTGTTGAAAAATTAGTGAATTTAAAAACGTGTTACTGTACAGGTTGGGTATGAAAGAATTCAAAGCCAGTTTAGTTACAAACGAATATTCTGAAAGGATTTCGAGGTATAACCTTGAACAATATGCTGTAGCATACTGAACCAAGGAATGGAAATCACTGCTATACACAACACAGGACGCTAAAATCAAAATGAAGAATTGTAAATTTTTATGCAAGAAAGATGTTAAATTAGATTCTAAATTGAATTCTCTTTATTTGTGAATGTGTGTATGTGTTCAGTTTTTGTCACCCATTTCCTGCTCAGCCAAAAAGCTATGAAACCGAAATTTTATGAGGTGATCTCAGCCTGTGTGCAACTCCATGAACCAAAATTAACGTTCACTTACGCCTCAGTTTTACACACGGACGCCTGAGAGAAAATCTCAAGAAGTTTTGATAAGAAGACGATTTCCGGAACCAGACAAGATAAAAAGATAAAATCTCATGATACGTTATTTGTTCATGTGTAAACTGAAGTTGCAGCTATCATGACGGCCAAACATATTTGGTGGATGAATCTGAAAATTCCTCAAGTGATTACGTTCAAATCTTATTTTATACCCGCAGCAAAAAAAAGGACATGATATTATTTCAACAAGCACTCATCACGACCTACAAACAGTCCACTTTCTCTTTGTTTTGCAACAAAAAACAAAGTAACGAAAATACTTGTCCAAGGTTTATCATAGAATTCACAGCATTTTTCGGCTAACTCGTAGACGTCGGTAGTGTGAACACTTTATACAGTTTAATTCATTATTACAATTAGTTTACAGTAATTGAACATTTATTGTTATATAACACAACAGTTAGAAAATCTTTTGGCGAGAAAATTACGAACAGAAACGACAGTTTCATTTTCTTTCAGTAGTTCCCAAATAAGAGATGCTCGAAGCTTTCTAGCGACTTCTGGAAATTTGTTATTTTGAAGATGGAACCCACGGAGGTTGACTCACATGCGAATTCTTTCCGGAGGACTTGTGATAAGTTTTGTTTGTGAGTTATTGCTAGTTGCTCTATTTTTGACATGTATCGGGAATGTGAATGGAGGCCGGTGATGTATGATCAGCATTTCCGGGCTCAGCACTGAGATATCGTAGTGGCGGGATTCAGTTTACATTTAGGCTCAACAGACTTCAATATTGTTGTTCGATGTCGGTCGGCCGTGCAGTAGGCAGGTCCAGACTATGCACGACGACACGCACAACTTGGTCGCGAGGGTGGGAACGTCTGGAGCGCGAACGACGCCGGTTGATTTCGCTTGAACGAGGACGGCGGTGATTGTGGAGTGGGCTGTGGTTAGTGCGACGTTGTTGGCGGTGGAAGGGGCGATGGCGGCGGCGGTGCGGGAGGCGTTGACGGTGGTGCTGGCGATGGTCTTCATGGTCGGCAGAGTGTCGGTAAGAGTGCCAGCAATTGTGTGGGAGTAAGTGATGCTGGCAGCAGCGGTGGTGGTACGAGCGGCGGCAGTGGTGGTATGAGCGGTGACGGTGGCAGTGGCAGGTACGTCGGTGTTTTAATACCGCTATATTCAAACACGCTTGCTAATTTCCGACGAAGTGAGCTGCTACTGCTGCTGCCGCTGCTGCTTGTGCATGAGTTTTTCCGCCAAACTCACTGCACATCGTGCATGCACCACCGCTTCTGCACGAGCTCTCAGTGCGCAGACACTCCGTGATCTCTTCCTATCTTGCACGAGCACAAACATTCCGTGCTGTGCCACCGCCTCGCTTCGGTCTCCTTCTTTCGCTCATCTTTTCCAGTATCTGTAAAACTCTATTAAATTATCCAACAATTTTCAAACTCTCACAACAGTTTCACAATCCAATTTTACAAGTTTCGAAAACTTAGTCTTGTAAAAATTCAAAATTTTATCTTTTTTTTTCAGTCCCTTGATTGACAGGTTAAGGATCTGCTCTCTTTTTCAGTTCACACATAAATCATTCTGTTATTTTCTTCTCATGAGCAACTGCGCTCATTATCATTGTCATTTTATTCGTGTTTCCCATTAACCAACATTCCATTAAAATTTCAGCCTCCCAGCTTTCCCGGTTCCCAAATTAGCGATTTTCGCATCAGGAAACCTCACGGGGCTGTAAGCGGGGACCGTTCAGCCAAACTGAACTTGAAGTCTTTGAGCTCCGTGTGGACGTGGCATATAATCTCAAAATTTCAGCTTTTCTCGTTCCCGAGTTTTCAATTTTTCCGCCAAAATTTTCATGTGCTCACGCGCGGGGCCCAGACGTGCGTGAAGATTGGTACCGCGGTTACGAGGGTGGCACACAGTCGAGGAACCTACTGGCAAAATTTTGGCGCCCAAGCTAGCTTGGCTGGCGAGTTGAAATACCTGGACAGACGAACACACACACACACACACACATACAAACAAACAACATACACTGGGTCGTTGCAATATGCGTTTTTTACGCGTTTTTGCTTATATGTAAATTGCAA